CCGGATTGTAGGTGTAGTCGAGTTTTATCCGAAAACGACACTTACTCCCTTGATCATCATAGATGCTACCGGGAGGTGGTTGTAAGAAACCTTCGACGGTCGCTGCAATGACGCTATCATCATCAGAGGCCGTGCTGCCAGCATTCTGCAGTTTGAACTCACTTCGAAAAAGTTGATTCTTCGATGTGTTTCTCCCACTGTCACTTCCGTGTCCCGAACCACGTTGGTTGGAATTTTGTTTTAATTCTTTGATAGTGTTTTGCTTCTCTATTTGATCGATCCTTTTGGCGTAGAACTCCACCAGGCGGCCAAAATGACTAGATTGCTGTGGCATGCTTATTGGTCAGATGAAGTTGGAATTCCGTACAGTTTTAGTTAGTTTAAGCTAACTGCACTTTAATCCATTGCACACATTGTGCTTGCTGAGAGCGAGTAGGAAATAAAGTGCGCCATGTTTAAATTGCATCGATTTTTCATGTTGCATGTGGTCACGTGTTTCTTTGAAAGTACACATGGTCAGTTCGACCGTCGCTCTCACCGATGTCCACCACGAGCCTCAACGAGCTGAAGCAACGCCGTAACGGCGGCTGGATTACAGAGGAAATAGACGCACCGGATCTATCCCACTCTCTGACCACCCCCAAACCTGAACCCGATGTGAAGACAAAATTCGAGAAGACCGGAAATGGGGGAGGGTGCAGGCGGTGTGCGCGAAACATACTCCAATACGCGCCACAACAACACCACCGTATTAATTAGGCTTCCACGTAGGAGCACCATTAAAGCCACATTAAGAAGGAGCCATTGAGCCTGACTCTCAGAGCACAGTAAGCTACTCCAATCAACAAGACACATTGGGCTGACTGCGGTGTCCCAGTTATCCCGTCAGTTGACAACCTTCCAAGCCGCGGTTTTTCGCGCATTGTGGTCACTTCAAGTGCATCAGATTGTTTTTAGTGAGGAAAGAAATGTGCTGAGGGCCGACCTCACTCTCTCGCCCACCGGCAGTTATAGGCCACCGCCTAGCTGATCGGTCGCCTGAGGTGGGAGGGGCGCAATCCTAAAAAGGCACTCAAAGGCACACAAACAAGCACACACACACACACACACAC